AGGCAGCTATCTATCAGTTCTGTTCCTTTAGAGTCTAGAGAACCCTGAATAAAGTTACAAATCTCTTCCCCAACCTCCTAATACTGATGACCTGTAAAGACCACTTCTGACCCACGGTTATGGGCATCTCTCCGATGTTCCAAAGGGTCTTTACACTTTGTACCATCAACTTATTTCTAACTTAAGTGGTTTTCTATGGCCTAACAACCTACCCTGTTTCTCTCCTTCCAGTCAATGTCATCCCTCCTCTGTTCCTACATCCACTTCTTGCCCTATCACTGACTCCATTACTATTCTTTTTGACTCTGTGCCCTTTCTAAATACTCAGGGCTGTTGGCTTTGCTCCCCTTGCCTAACAATAATGACCATTGTGGTTTCTGGTTTGTGTTGAACATGTACTATGTGTTAGTCATGTTAGGCCTTTACATGGGTGATTTCATTCGATTCTCATCACACTCTTAGGGCAGAGATGCTATTCCTACCCTCAGCTAGAGATGTGTAAACTACATGCGTGGTATTGGAGAAAGTGTGACTAGCTGAGAATATAGTTCAAGCTCAAAGCCAGTGTTCTGACCTACTTTGGTAAATTCAATTTAAAAGCTAAATGTACTTACTCTTTCAAGAAACCCTTCCAATCTCTCCTTTTTTATTCTCCTACACCCCCAGCACTCTCCACCTACTGCAGAACATATTTATTATTATTTACATATCGATCCTTTATTAATTCCCTTAGCAAGTAGATTTCATAAGCATACTGTCAAGGTCATACGGTTGCTTATCAGCAGTGAATGAAGTCAGCCTGGACCAGCCTCCTAGAGACCAGTTGGAAGGCGAGGATCTAACCAAACAACTACACAAATGTACCATAAAGTCCTATATGATAATCTCTATGGAGAAGAACTTCAGGAGTGGGTGATGCATTTGTCTCTAGGTGTCATGTGAGTACAAGTCAGCCACATTGATTTTCTCAGTGTGAACCTGCTTGCAACTTGATAGGCATTAAGTGTGACATCAACACATTACAGGGACTATTTAGGTTAGAAATTGTATTCTCAATCAGAAATTGAAGTCAGTGTTATAGAAAAGGAATTGTACAAATTTTTGGCATTATAGCGTGGTTACAAATACAAAATGATATAAATATTTTGAAGGAAAAAAGTAAAACTGATTTGACAAGGTTGTCTCAGTGTAAGTTTCTCAACTCGAGAAAGCACTTATTCAATTTTATATTTATACGATGGTGTTCACACAGCACACTTTACTCAAATTATGCAAACTGTTAACTGGGGGCCTGGAAGGACAAATGAGCACCCAGACTTCTGATTACTGGTGCTATCTTCTATCTGTCCTGTTGTCATCTGTTTAATTCAAATATTTAACAAATGGTCTTTACAAAAAATAAACAAACAAAACTATCCAAATGAAAGGCTCAGATACGGCATTTTCGATCTTAACTCCATGTGAGAAGCATTCATTCAGCTAGAGAATGACTGTGATATTTTAAGTCAATTTCTAACCTGCTACCTTAAGTGCTTCTGACCTGATAGCCAAAACCATAATAAATGCTCAGAGTGACATCTTCGAGTAAAATACTGCAACCCAATGATTCAAAAAACAGTACTACTAAAATAAGTAAACATGATAAAGAACCTGTTGATAAGTACAAAAAAAATCAGCCTAGGAAATCTAAATATTATCATAAAGATATATTAAATTACTCAGAGACATAATGGATTACTGGCAACCTTTTTTAGTTGTTAACTTATGTCATAGTTTAATTGAGTACTTCACTATATCATATGGGAAATGGATTTGGTTATTGGGATAGATGACTAAAATACATCAAAATGAAAAAAAAAGTCCATTTGCTCACCTCACATATCAAGACCTTAGTGCCATTCACAATGCTACCCTGCAAGCATGTATGCCCTGGGGTTTGCTGGAATGACTATGTCAGTGCCCTCCTCACCTCAGTATGGAGATAATTTTGAGCGTGCAAATCTGGCAGTGCTAATGCACGGCTTGGAGTTTAGTGATGAGAGATGCTATGTGAATGTTACACTAAAGCAGTAAGAAGTACGGCTTCAGGAATTACAAGACTCATGCCTCAAACTCCGGACAGCACGGAACTGAAAGGCTCTATGTCTCTGGGCTGTTGTGATTTTTCTCCTCTAGAAGAATAACTAGGGACAACAAACCTGACCACACCCACGTTAGGTGGGGGCCTGGCTGCTGCTGAGATCTGCTTAACAGCTCTGCTTTCAGTAGTGCTGCAGTTTGCATCTGGAATGTCCTAAAACCCTGTGGACCCTGGTGAGCTTTGGGCTGCTACCTACAATGCTGCCAGTTGATAGGAACTCTTTAGGGGGCGGGGTTTAGGAGATGAAGTTAGGTTACTGTGGGTATGTCTCTGAAGAAAGATTAAGACCCAGCCCATCCCTCCTCTTTTTGCTTCCTCGGTCACTCTACATGTTCCTGCTACTCACCACAGGTTCCAACACAATGAGGATAACCCGTCATGGACCGAAGCCAGAAGGCAATCTCAGTCCTTGTGAACTGAGTATCTACGGCATTTTTCACAGTGACATAAAGCCGACTAACACATCCTTACTTGGCTTTCCATCCTTTCTCAATCTCTGAAGATTGAGAACTACTTCATTCTGAGCAACATTTGTTTCCTACTAAATGTCTACTCTCCTCAAAGCAACTTTTCTTCTGGTCCATTTGTCCCTTGTTCCTTTGCTTAACTACAGCAGCTGACAGACACTGGCAGCTGCCTATTATTGGGAAATATTATCCAAACATCTCTTCTTCAAGCAAACCAAACATAGCTAAATATATATGCAAGATGATAAACTATACTTATCTTAACACAGTTTTGATGAAACAAGACATAATATTTTATTCTTACAATAATTGTACCTCAAATTATAGCACTTGTTACCCATTTAGTAATGACATTACAGTTTAAATTACTCAAATTATTTTCACTTTGATTCAACTATGCATTTATGTTTTGAGTATCACAAATTCCAAAACAGTATCTCATTTTATACATATATCTAATTTTAAAAATGATCTAGAAAAAAAATAAAATATTCTAAGTTAGGGAAAGACAAGTTTTTCTAAAACTAAACATTTCTTGATAACATTAATAAAAAACACAACTGAAGTAGCTCCTCAAAATGACCTAAGAATACAAAGCATGAAATAAACATAGTCTATTAAGATCCAACCTCTCTGTAGAGCTTTGTTTCAGTTACACAATGTTATAATCTCAAGATGGCAGGCCTTAACAAAAGGGTTTTTTTTTTTCTGACAGTTATGTCTTAAAGAAACTAGAGTGCCCAACAAAACCACAAATAAAATTCTCTAGCGATGAGAACTGAATAGCCCCAAAGGCCAATTAGTCACGAAGAGACTTTGACTAACCACACAGGACTCTAGCTCCCCGCTGTCACAGTGGAGAGAAGGAAAATATTCGCTAAACCACAGTCTCCCTGAGGCTACAGGATGAGTGACCACTGCTTCCAAGACACAGCACATGGGCAGGAACTGTCCCTAAAAGAAGGCTGCGATGGTGAAGAAGGGCATTATTGCAGCAGCCTCGTGGTCTCCACTGAAAATGCTCCACTCTGCTGCAGGTCAGCCTCCTAACATTACAAGATGTTTGTTCTGGGCAGGGCTGACGTACTCTTGTGTCTCAGCAGCTCCCTAGGCTGCATCCCACCGCTTACATGGTTGCTATCCTTGGTCTTGCTCTCTGCAGCAGTCTCTGAATGCTGCCAGTCTGATTTCTCTCTGATGCCTACAGGATTAAACTCCAGCTTGTGAACACACGGTACAAGACTCAGCCTGACCCGCACTTACCCATCTTCTCAGCTGCCTCTCCCTTCTTTCCCCACCTGTTTCCAACTCACCCAGCCTCAGCCTCTGGGCCTAAGCACTGACTCATGCTTTCTCTGAAATGCTTTCCCCTGTGTCAGCCAGAACAATTCCTTCTCCATGAAGCCATTCTTACCGTCCTAGCTGGTGCTACCCAAGCACTCCACTTATACATGCGTATTACATATGTCCCTCCTGCAACAGATTGTATCTTAAGCACCGCCCCCAGATGTCTACATGGTAAAGAAAAGCTTGTTCCCAGGGTGGGACTAGTGAGAACTGTTCGAGCTATAGCAGGCAAGGCCTAATGGCAAGCTTTCGGATCACTGGGGCTATGCCTTTGAAGGGGACCCTGGAACGCCAACCCCCACCCTTCACCCCTGCCTCTTTTGCTGTACAACCACAAGATGAGTAAGTAGTTCTGCTCAGCTGGCTCTCCTACATAGGCCCAAAATGACCACACTAAATTCCCTGGACGAAAATGTCTCAGACTGGCCAATAGACAGCACAAACCTTTCCCTCTATGAGTTGATCATCACAGGAATTGGTTACAGTAACAGAAAACTATCCAACACACCTTTATGAGACTATTTTGAGTCAGGGACGGTCCCATTTGTCACCTAATACGAGTAAATGCCAAGCACATCGCGACATTCTGGTTTTTTGGTAAACACTGAATGAATAATGTTTTCTACAAGTATTGCTCATTATAGACAAAGGCTGGGGAAATGAAATTGAGACCACTGACAAAGTCAAGCTCATTATTTAAAAATAAGGGGAGAGGGGAGCACTAGCGTTTACTAGCACTTGGTAACAGTGACGACTGTCACTCTAAAGCTTAGCCTTCCATTGGGTTAGTAAAAGGATTTAACATGATTAGAGTCAAAGAGAAAACTTCGGTTAAATCCTCCAGAGTAATCTCTCAGCATTAGTCTTCCCAGACTACAGACTAGAATCCCAGGACAAGTCTGCTTACTTCGGGCTCTAGATAAAAGGATAGGAGAAGGAAGCCCAGGCCACGCATACCCACCCCACACACACCCACCACCAGTTGGCCCATCAGGCCTGCTCCCATCCTGGGACCATTAACCTACTGCTCTGGAGAGCATGCTTACTTTGTATCTGCTTTCTGATCTGGAAGGTGTGGGGATATGTCCTTTTTTCTTAAAGGTTGTGAAGTGTTTGCACTGAGGACACGGCTTGGTGCTGGAGTCAATTCGGCCAAGTTCCAAGAAGTACTTATACTTGATGGAGTCTTCATGGGTCAAGTTGTAGACGACAGTAGTTTCCTCCAGGAATTCGAAACACTCCGTGATTGGGCATTTGATTTCTACTTGGCCAAGCTGTACCTAGGTGAAAGGACAGAAGGAAAAGGAAAAGCCCACTGGTTATTAAGGTTCTCTGTTGCTTGTTTCTGCATACAGCTCTAATTATCTTATGCTTTCAACAAAAAGTTATCAGCCATTTTTCCAGATCGCATTAACGAATGCTAGTCTTTTGAAACCTACATTGAGTACCAAAAACCAATCGTGATCCATAGGATGCTTACATGCTCTCTTACAATTATGTTTGTGAACTTATTTGATGATCCACAGGTTCATTAAGGAAGCAAATGACAGCGAGCCAGCTCTTAGTCACCGGATGAGTCAGCCAACCAAAGGCATTGCAGAGATTTCAACCTTAATACACACACTGCTTCAGCACTCTGCTTTGGAAGCATCTTTAGAAAGCAAAATTTTATGAAGCCTTTATGTTTAGTATCTACCAGTTTATAAAAATAATGACCCAAAGTTAATGTTTTCTTGGGTACTTCCCTGACAAGCACATAAACAGCTCTGATGTTATCACAACCTTAGAAGTAAGAAAAGAAAAACAAGAAAAGTCTGGGTTGCTGAGATAGTTCATCACGTATAAGTGCTTGCCAACTCAACCTAACGACATGAGTTCAACCCCCCAGACCCATACAACAGAAGAGGACCAACTTCCAAAAGTTATCCTCTGACTCCATATGCACACTCTGGCAAAAGCTAGTCCCCTTCCCTACACATACATCAAATGAATAAATATAAAACAGGTAAAAATACATTGGTGGTATTATGTCATTGCAGTACAATGGCAAAATTTGGTTGTAACTATGAGCACACTTATCAACAAATAAATATTATGAAGATATTTTAAAAAATAAACCTGTTTGTTGACACATTTTATACAGCTTTAATGTAAAATTGGAGGGTAATTCATACTTTAGCACAGCAGTTAAGAGCACTGCCTGCTCTTCCAAAGGTCCTGAGTTCAATTCCCAGCAACCACATGATGTAATGAGATCTGATGCCCTCTTGAGGAAGAGACCTGGTCAGTCATCCTCATCAACTTAGACCATGAAACCCAATATGGACAAGTTCAGCAGAACTGCAAATACGGGCTCCCATGCATGCCTCAGCATTGATTTCATTCAAATTTCAATATACTGGTAAGGAAATTTTTTTAACGCCAGTCAGACTCTTGCACGTTACTGTCAGGTTAGCTCATGCCTTTTCCTGGCATTACCATGTTCTTTCCAGTTTCTTTCCGCCTCTAACTTCTTACCAACTTTCTCTCAAGTTTGTATGTGATAAACAGCGAACTTGAAAGGGGGTGTGAGTTTAAGATTTTTATTTTCCATTCATAGCCCAGGTTGGCCTCCAATTGCAGTCTTCCCTGCTCAGCCACCTGAGTGCTAGGTGTGCTTCTACATTCCGCTTCCCATCTATGTTTTATAACAAATTACTTTAAGCTACACTTCATGCAAGAAGTCCTTATAAGCTTTTCATAGAGACAAAAATATCCACGGAACAATAAGAGTTGGGGTTTATGAAGATTGCAACGGGTATCTTACAATGATAAGATGTTCCTTCTTTTAATATCCGGTATTTATCTGTGAAGCCCCGCCGAGAATGGGGCACTGACTTGGGTGCTGAAGCTAGACAGGTGCCTATCAGGAACGAGGCAGGCACAGTCGGGACCAGACTGATGACAGTGTCAGCCTGACAGGGTGCTGCACAATGCCACCAAAAGATGGGGGTGGCTTGGTCTCTTCAGACCTGGGAGCCTCAGACTAAGCTTCTTTGACGGAGTGGAAGCCAGATGAGAGCTTAAGATCAATGGGACTTAATCAATAAGAACAAAGCTGCTCCCAGGAGCCAGAAGAACCAACGGGGTGAAAGGCCTTGGGGCAAATGCCGAGATCTCTAAGGCAGGGGTGCTGTGTTCTAGTCACCTCCACTGTACTGACCCACACAGCAAACATTCAAGTGAATTTAAGATTATCACCTTAAAAGGGCGTGGAAAAATAAGATTGATCCCAAAATATGAGTACAGAAGAGGCTGTAAACATGAACTTGGGTCAGCCCACAAGGGCAGGGCATTAGCATATCTGAGGACCCTGGACTTTTTTTCCCTATAAAAACAAATACGTAGTTCTCAGTACATGGAAGCACAGTTTCTGACATTTATTGGGTGGGGGAGTCCACTTTTATGCTTAGGAACCCAGGCTACGGAATGCTCCCAGCTTGATTTGACTTTTCTCTCTTTTTGTATTTTGTATTTTAACCATATAAGTGGTAGTGAGGGATGCAGCACTTTTAGAGCTAACTGGGACAGTCAGGTCTTATGGTGATGCCATGCAGTTTGGAGAGTAGAACCATCCCAGGCATCCCAAGGACGAGGCTATCTTGTTTCTTTTGGAGCAGAGGGTGTTTATTACCTGACCACACTAGGATGCCATCCAGCACCCAGCCAGGCACCTGTTCTTCTATTTCAATGGTTTTTGGTTTTTTCTGCAAAGCTATTCCATTTCCATGGATACTTTATTTCCTGGAGTTTTCATAGTCTCTGTCCTTTCTCCAAGTTCTCAAATCCTTACCCCACAACACTGAGTCACTGACCTCATGCAGCATTTTACTGATCACAGGGAGACATGGTGCACCTATGATCCAATCGCCCACTGGCGATTCCATCAGTCTGTCTCCATCTGGCCCTCTCTTCTGGCTTCCCTTGGTATAAAACATAATTAGCTTCTAGAACAACTGCACAAAAGATCCTGGAAAAGTCTTTTGAGAGTTGAAGTTTCCTGGCCTACTCTAGACCTACAACATTCAGAATTTGAATTATATTCAGGAAGCCAATAATTGGCAGTTGGAACAATGACTCAAGCCTTTCAATTACTCATGCTTCCTCCTAAGAACAACACCCCTTCTCATGCACAGTGTGACTAATGACCTATCTGACTCTTGGCAGTTACATGTGTATCGTTTTCAGAGTGGTTTTCTCAAAAGATTATTAGACAGGCATCTTGACAAGTAAGCAATGTGTACTCACTTATTTATCCAGCAATATACATTCTATTAACTAAAGGGGGGAAAAGTCCTTTAATACCAAGAAAGTAAAATTTGTCCTTCAAGCAATAGTTGTTAAGCATTAAGTCTTGCTGGGTGGTATGTGGCATAACAGCATCTGTTGGATTGCAGCAAACTGTGGGCTTCATCGGGTAGGCAACCTGACAGCCTCCTAGACAGATAGAAGGGGACGGCTATGCTGGCCTTGTTGGAGGAAAAAAAAAAATGCGGACTACAATGTTTGCCATGATGGAGAAGGGCAGCTTTCCACTGAGCCTGAAGATTGGTGATACAGAGAAACTTTCCACAGACAAAAGAACCAAGGACTGTGGCTCCCAGACAGGAGGAACCTGATGTGCCTATGCTACAGAACACAGGTCAGCGGATAAGGTTTGCCATGCTAGGGACAGAAATCAGGCTGGAATCTTAGGTGGGATATGATCATATTAAGAATTCTGCATTAAACTGTAAATTCAATATGAATCATTTCCAGATTTGAAAAGAAGGAGTAATTTGTCACATTAAAAACAAACAGCTGGGCGGTGGTGCCGCACGCCTTTAATCCCAGCACTTTGGGAGTTAGAGTCAGGAGGGTCTCTGTGAGTTTGAGGCCAGCTTGATCTACAAAGCAAGTTCCAGGACAGCTAGGACTTACACAGAGAAATCCTGTCTCAAAAAATCAAAACAAGCAAAGAAACAAAAACAAAACATTCAAGGTCTTTTTAGAGAATGTACCATACAGAAGTCAAAATGCAAGCTAAGACAATAGCAGCCCTCAGCTGAAGCCTGGCTCTACCGGATTCCATTGTGCAGGCAGCTGGTGACTGAATTTGGGTAACTCAGGGACAGTCAGTATGAATTATGGAAGTGAGACCAATGGGGTCTTTTTAAATTGACAAAAATTATCTATGTTTATGCTACACATGATGCTTTAAAATACAGATACACTGTGGACTGGTTACATCTGGTTCTAATATTTATTACTTTGGAGAGGGAACATTTAAATCCTATTTTCTGATCAACATTCAAGCTTATCATTATTAATCATAGGCACCATACTGGACAATAGTTTCCTTGAATGTAGTCCTTCTAATTGAAATTTTGTATTCTTTGATCAACATTTGCCAAATAGTCCATATATATTTCTTTTAATTTTTAACTTTTTTATTACATTCTTCTCATTTTAATTGTTTGGATTGGAATGTGCTATACATTTTTACTCATTCCCTTCCCACTCTCGATGTTCCCAATTTACTTAGGAGATCTTTTCCCCACTTGCTAGGCAGATCTATGTATGTCTCTCTTAGAGTCCACTTTGTTACCTAGATTCTCTGGGGTTGTGGCCTGTAGATTGCTTTATGTCTATCATCTACATATGAGTGAGTACATATTATATTTTTCTTTCGGGGTCTAGGTTACCTCACTCAGGATGGCTTTTTCTAGTCCTATCCATTTGCCTGCAAATTTCAAGATGTCATTGTTTTTTACTGCTGAGTAGTACTCTAATGTGTAAATGTGCCACACTTTCTTTATCCATTCTTCAGTTGAGGGGCATCTAGGTTGTTTCCAGGTTCTGGCTATTACAAATAATGTTGCTATGAACAAAGTTGAACAAATGTTCTTTGTGGTGTGAGTGTGCATCCTTTGGGTATATGTTCAAGAGTGGTAATTCTGGGTCTTGAGGTAGAATGACTCCTAATTTTCTGAGAAAACGCCATACTGCTTTCGAAAGTGTCTATACAAGTTTGCACTTTCACCAGCAATGAAGGAGTGTTCGTTCACCTTCTCCCACATCCTCTCCAGCATAAGCTGTCATTAAGGTTTTTGATCTTAGCCATTCTGACAGGTGTGAGATGGAATCTCAGAGTTGTTTTGATTTGCATTTCTCTGATGGCAAAGGATGTTGAGCATTTTCTTTAGTGTCTTTTGGCCATTTTAGATTACTCTGTTGAGAGTTCTCTGTTTAGATCTGTATT